TTTAAAACCTGGTGGTAGAACACAAGTTTAGAGAGCAGCGCCAACGGTCCGTAGGTTTGTTATCCACAAAAACTTAATCTCCTGTCAGGAAATCAATAATTGTAGCTGCTTCTGTTGGAGGGAAAGGTGCTCTAATGCTGTGTGTTAATTTACCAGATGGCTTTGAAGTGTGCTGATATTTGTAATCCCTGTCGGACGTGGGAGCTGAGTAAGCAGTGGAGTGAAAAAGTAACAGAGGAGTTCTTCCATCAAGGCAAGTAGGACCAGAGGTATCTGCTGGTACATAATGCATTTAACACTGTGGAGAGAGTGACCATGACTCGTCGCTGCTTGCAAATAATGTTTATATTGAGGACTAACAGAGATTTATGGTGTGGGATTTGGGTACTTGCCTGGGTTGTGCTTCCTGCAAAAGGTTGGTGTTACTGAAACCCAAGGAAGAACCTGCTTAGAAGCGGCATCTGGAATGGCTGATCCTTGCTCAGCCCAAAAAAGGTGCTTCAGATGAACGATTATGCTCACTTGATGTTTACCCAGTCGTTTCAGTAAATAATGAAATATATTCTTTGTGTATCTTCAATATTTGAACTTTGGCTTTCGGTAAGAAGGGAAGAACTAGGGAGGAGATTTTTAGTTACCATGCAGTTGAGACATGGAAGTGCTGGAGCGTGGCCAGAGGAGAGCACCAAGCTGGTGAGGGGTCTAGAGAAGAAGTCCTAGGAGGAGAGGCTGAGGGAACTGGGCATGTTTAGTTTGGAGAAGAGGAGGCTGAGGGGAGACCTCATCGCCCTCTACAATACCTGAAAGGAGGGTGTAGAGAGGTGGGTGTTGGCTTCTTCTCCCAAGTGATAATGACAGGACCAGAGGAAATGGTCTGAAGTTGGGGCAGGCGAGGTTTAGATTAGATATTAGGAAGAATGACTTTCCTGAGAGGGTGGTCAGGCACTGGAACAGCCTGCCCAGGGAGGTGGTGGAGTCCCCATCCCTGGAGGGATTTAAGAAACGTGTAGACATGGCTCTTCAGGGCATGGTCCAATGCCCGAGATTGTTGGGTTGTGTCTGTCTGTGGGTTTTTTTGGTGTGGTTTTTTTTTTGTGGTTGGACTTGATGATCTCAAAGGTCCCTTCCAACCATGAAGATTCTGTGATTTGGTGCTAATCCCGTTGGTAAAGGTGATGAGGAAGCACAAGAGCAAATTGCCTTCCATGAGAAATTCCTGCTGGTGAAACTACTCCCTTCCATATTGCTAAGGGGGGGATCTTAATGTGTAATTCCTGTGGCAGCCAAGGAGATAGTGCAAGGAAATGTGTTAATCCTTCAGGAAACCTGTGATTTGGTGGGTTTTTTTCTTTGATTATTGTTTGAAAAAACATACAAAGGGCTGTTGGTCTTGCTGAGAGATCTACTTGTGTTTTTTTGAGGGAGGTGGAAAAGGGAAAGCAAACGCATTCCATCCTCGTTAACCATCCTCGTTACCCACCCTGTGCCTCTCACTTCAGTTTAGTATTTGATGGCTCTGTTTGTGGTTGTACTTGATGATTTAACAATCATAATTATACTTTTGTTTCTTTAGGAGATATTGAAAAGAAATATCACTTGGGCGTGAGTCCGCTTTGTGACCGACAGACGGAAACCGTCGCCAACATCCAGATTGGTAATTGCAGTTCAATTAATTTCAGTAGATTTCTTTCAGGATGTGATTTGATAAAAAAAAGAAAAAAAAAGTACCTTTTAGATACGTTTCCTACAGGTTGTACCTGCTCCTGGGGTGTGTGTGTAGATTGAATGGGACTTGGTTGGAAACATGGAAAAGGAAAGAATAGATTTAACTACAAACACGGTATGAAATAGCGCTTTAAATTAGACCGTTCTCCAATATTTCCATTTATTTATATATATTTAATATATAATTATATAGATTATATAATATATTTTATATATTATATAAGAATCATTTATTTATATTTATATAGGGCAAGTGCAGGGTGCTGTACCAGGGGAGGAATAACCCCCTGCACCAGTCATGTTGGGGGTGACCTGCTGGACTAAATAAGCACATACACACAAACAGGTGTGTGAATGTTTGTGTGTCGATGTTTTGTGGCCTTTTCGTTTAAAAATTTCTCTCATTTGTATTTTCAAGTATTTTTAGTCAGCTTAATATTGTGAAAAGATTCTCCTTTTTCTTCTGTCTAATGTAGTTCAGACTGTCTAGGGGGTAATTTGTTATCTTTCTTTTAGAAATTTAGTTTTTCTAAACTACTTTATGTAACTTAAGTCGCTGATGTTTAGATCCCTCCCTGTTCTCCAATATTTCCCTTTGTTTATATTATATATATTTAATATATACTTATATAATATATATATTATATGTGATATTTTATATATATTATATAATATGTATCTCATATATATAGATTATTTATTTATGTTTTATATAGGGCAAGTGCAAGGTGCTGCACCTGGGGAGGAATAACCCCCTGCACCAGTCAGGTTGGGGGTGACCTGCTGGAGAGCAGCTCTGAGGAGAAAGACCTGGGAGTCCTGATGGACAACAGGATGGCCATGAGCCAGCAATGGGCCCTTGTGGCCAAGAAGGCCAATGGCATCCTGGGGGCATCAGGAAGAGTGTGACCAGCAGGTGGAGGGAGGTCATCCTGCCCCTCTGCTCTGCCCTGGGGAGGCCCCATCTGGAGCACTGGGTCCAGTTCTGGGCTCCCCAGTTCCAGAAGGACAGGGAGCTGCTGGAGAGGGGACAGCAGAGGCTACAGAGATGATGAGGGGCCTGGAGCATCTCTCTGATGAGGAGAGGCTGAGGGACTTGGGTCTTTTTAGTCTGGAGAAGGCTGAGGGGGGATCTGATCAACACCTATAAATACTGAAAGGGAGGGTGTCAGGAGGATGGGGCCAGTCTCTTTCCAGTGGTGCCCAGGGACAGGACAAGAGGGAAAGGGCTCAAACTGGAACATAAGAAGTTCCACCTAAACATGAGGAGGAACTTCTTTCCTGTGAGGGTGGCAGAGCCCTGGCAGAGGCTGCCCAGAGAGGTGCTGGAGTCTCCTTCTCTGGAGACATTCAACCCCACCTGGACACGTTCCTGTGCAACCTGCTCTGGGTGGCCCTGCTCTGGCAGGGGGTTGGACTGGATGATCTCCAGAGGTCCTTTCCAACCCCATATCATTCTGTGACTCTGAATTTAGTCGTCGCTGTGAAAGGAAGGATGTTAATTTGTAATTGTTTATTTGTAATCCATCTTGCTGCTGTTCTTTTGACTGATAAAATCTTTTATGTTTTTGAGAGATTATTTTTGTAAAGATGCCCTTTAAATACATGTTGGAGAAGAGTAGTCCATTATTTTTTGCTCCTAAATTTTATTTAAAATATTTAGTTTGAGTCTTTTTTTTTCCTGGTTTTTTTCTTCTTTTGGTGTGTGGTGGTTGGTTCGGTGGATTTTTGTTTTCACGTGGATGTGTGTGTTTTCTTTCTTCCTGGCAGGTTTCATGACCTACTTGGTGGAACCACTGTTTGGGGAATGGGCCCGGTTCTCCAACACCAGGCTGTCTCAGACCATGCTTGGCCACCTGGGGCTGAACAAGGCCAGCTGGAAGGGGATGCAGAGGGACCAGTCCCGCAGCGGCGGCGGCAGCGACGACGTCGACCCTGCCTTCGAGGAGACGGACTCAGACATATTACCTCAGGAACCTCGCTTGTCCTGACCTCAACCTCCATGACAAAACTGCCTCTTCCCTCGGTATCCGCACAGTTGGAATTAAAGGCGATACTTGCCCAACCCAAGGTGATGGTTTAAAACGATGCCAGCATTTATTTATTTCCCAGTTTTCCTTTTATTTTTTTTTGACACGGACCCGTTTGAAGCAGAAATTTTGTTTTGTTGTTTATTTTTTGGGGTTTTTTTTCTTTTTTTTTTTTTGATTTTTGATTTCTTTTTTAAACCTGCAAAGATCTGCCCCTCAGAGCAATATGCACACGCGCCTCCGCTGGATCTCGTTTTGGGACCCTCGAATATGCAAAGCACAGCAGTGACTCTGGAGGAGGAACAGCACGAAAACACGTCCTCGTGCCACCCCGGCTTCGGTGGGG